CCGGGACTCGATCCCAGGACAGTTGTTTTGGGGATGTGCCCTTCGGCCTTCCAATCTCCTCGCCGAAACAACCGATTCTGTTCTTTGCGCCGTTCTTCTGTCGTTCAGATTTGAGGTTACAAAACCACCGTCTCCTGGTATCGAACGCAGGACACTTTCTCGGACATTTGACATTTCTGTGTGCTCATCCTGGTCTTAAGGAATAAGCATGCCAGTTTAGGTTCAAGTCGGATTAACCGTTCTCTAGCTAACACACACAATTCCAAATTTATGCACAAAATAATTGCTTTCCTGTGACGAAGTTTTGTATTGTAACCTGCAATGCACATAAATAATGTCGTTAGTTATAAGGATTAGAGGTCTTCACTGTGGTGATTGTGAGATGGCAGACTTTTTGGCTTTTCAGAAGTCATCACCCTGATGATGGAGACAGCAAGATCATCTGAAACATCGGTAAACTTCTACTGGACGACTGCTGTAGAGACATGTGGGTCAGATTGTGGTCTCGAATAGAAGGACGAAGACCCCCGCATTATTCATAGTTGACTGGAGGGGAGGGTAGACAAAGTGATAATAGGTATCACAACAAGCAATTGGTTTGCGATTATTGCCAAGTGTATTTTCTTTGCTTAATGGAAACACCGTAGTGCTTTATCGCCTTCAGTGAGATTGGTTGATTCTCTCTGCTTCTCCTGGAACATCATTTGCAATCCAAAGAGTGGCTAATCCAGATGGGCGTTCACACGTGGAAATCCTTATTCGATTTGAGCCTCGAAAAGTTCCTTACAGCGGATGTGGTTGACTTCAACATGTCTTTCCTTTTTGTAGGAAAAACCTTGTAAAGTAAAGAATTGCAACAATTGACTCAATCCATAACAATCGATATCGGAGTCTTCCCAGAAAGACAAGACTTTCTTCTCATCTTGTCTTTGTTTAAAAATTATTTTGTTTGCTTTCTTATGGTTGATACTTCAGAAAAACCGGAGGTGATATAACGTGTTTAAATAAGCTTAGTTTCCTGAACGTTTTGTCAGTGTTTCCGTAATGAAACGCACTCACTCTCATCTTATAATCTCAGATGAAGAAGGGTTAATAGTTTCTTATTTCCTTCTTCTGCAACACTCACCATCTTCATTTAATGCAGGGTGAATTCTAGGTGTCAGCCGTATGTTCCCAAGAGGAATAAAAGTAGAACTAGGTAAGTGACGTCGTTCCAGCAGAAATGCCTTTTGCTGTAAAATAATCTCGACTTTGTTGGCACTTCTCGTAATTCATTAATAAGAGCCTAAACTACCATCAGTTTTGTCAGTGACATTTTAAGTTTGAGAATATTTTTTATCTGATTCGCGGTTCACCACGTTTTCAGAATTGTCACGTGTCCAGCGGATTTAATTTTTTTTCGACGGAAGCAGCATTCAAAAAGTGTGTTCGCTGGAAATTGTATGTCTCAGATTTCCCGTTATGACCGTCTGGGACAAGACACCATGTCGTCTTGTAGATATCGATATCAGAGTCTTCCCAGAAAGACACGACTTTCTTCTCATCTTGTCTTTGTTTAAAAATTATTTTGTTTGCTTTCTTATGGTTATCTATTCCGATTAGACGTATCACCTCCATTTTTAGGGTTGAAGTGAGTATATGCGAATTTATTTCTTTTAACCAAACTTCCAAGAACTCGGATTATGCGTCGCCAGTCTACACAGTGTGGAAAGAAGGACTCGTAGAGACCCTGAGGAAAATATCATAAGTCTCCTGTCAGGGTATCAGGTCTCTCTGACAGTGCTGAAGCTGAGGCCTTCCAATTTGAAGAAAAATTTCAAGCCAATTGACCGAAATTCCTTCCGGCTTACGAAAGTCGTGTGTGAAATTAATTTTGATTTCAGTCATTAACGCCACAGTTTGCCGAATGTCTTCTTATGTCTGCTACTTTTGACACTTGCAGCTTTGAAGTAAATCAGTTAACAAAAAAGATTCAAATAGAAAATAATTATTTATAAAACATTTGATGTAATTCACTTTACTTTTCTACGCAGAACTCATAAAACTCAACTTCCCCATTGCATAATTCCAGCGGAACAAGGCATTGTGTTGTTAATGCCTTAATTAGGTAATTCAGGGGTACATCAATTCAAAGGTATAATGCAGTTTAGTTTAGTTTATGAATTATCATTATGTACTGCTACAGAAGTAAGTTATTACGTTGAGTGACGGTCAGATATCAGGCAGACTATATCCACCACAAAATAGTTCCCATGAACTGGAAAACATTTCATCTGCCAGGCCTTTTCATTTTCGTCCGTTAACTCTTACGTCTCCAGTCTTGTCCGCGATAATCACATCTCGTGTCCGTAGAATAGAGACGAAAGATTCTTAAAGATGTTAATGTTGCTGTGATGTTTAACTACGATGCATTAACTGCAGTCGCTGTTTAGCGTCGAACGACGTCCGTTGTCTTGAGCAAATTTGACAGAAATCTTTCGTGGTTTTGTGAAACAGATTTCCCCCTACGTTCTCTTTGATGGTCTCAGGAAATTTAATGAAAACCTTAGTTTGCCCGACCGCATGTCCATTCTTACATCTTATCGATTTAGTTACTGCATGCATTGAAATGAGTGATCGGAGAATT